ATTATACCTCACTCTAGCAGCAATTTCATCAGAAAACAGTGGAAATTTATATATCTCAAACATACATGCAGGTATTAATAATTCTGAATGCAAAAATAATGTTAACCACTTAGAGTCAGGAAAATTGGAAATTTTGCAGCAGTGAACATTGCTACTTGTGCATTTTTTTCATATTTTCAATTCTATGCATTTGGCCCATACTCCAAACGGTGGCCAAAAAATGGTTTAACACTATAGACAAATCCCAATGCAATGTTTCCATGAAAACAAATTTGGATACAGCTGATTTTTATTTTATCACTCAGAATTTGTAGTGCTTTTAAAATTTACATGTGTTTATTCTTAAAGACAGCAATCTCCATGAATGCTGTCAATCTTTTTGTCCCTGTTCTCTGACAAAGAGATATCAATCTTATGTTGCATAAAACATCTCCAGCAGTGTACACACTCCCAGGAAGTTGTATTGATGTCCTACCTCTTTCCGGTACACAAGGTGGAATTGCTTGACCCTTAGCTGGATGTAATTTACTTGACTGGTTTCTATGATAGAAATCAATGCTATGATAATTGCCAGGTACTCCTGTAATCTCTACAGTTGGTAATCCTCTGAAATGTTACAATCACATGATATACGAGTCAATATACATCATTTTGAAAACTCTTTAGCTCATTGACTTGCATCATGTTCTAGCTGTGTTTTTCACATTAATATTTGTTGAATGTTTACATATACATTTATCTTAGGCTTATAAGAGTGGTGATCAACCAGCGTCAACCTCTCTCAGCTGTTTTTGAAAATCACTTCATTAACAATTTTTTTATACAGACACCTTAATTAAGTTCATAAATTTCAGAATAAAGTTTCAAAATAAATCTATTGGTGTTGACAAGTACACTGAATACAGAACAATTCCGCAAACATGTCTTCTTGCTCTGGGACTGTGATGGCAGTAGTACAGTAAACATACTGGGTTATTCAGAATAACATAAAAACAAAAGAACTTACCTTCTAGGTGATCCATCTTCATGAGGGGGTATGATAACCACTTTAACAGTCATCGATGTCCTGAGTAAGTCTATCATCTGATCATGTGTCAGAGTACACACAGCTACCTTACAAATCTACCAAAGAATAAAACATATCAATAATGTTGACAGTAATACCTCAACAAATGTGGTGGAATGAGCATTATTTTCATTTATCATAACAAAATACAATATTTTACTGACAGATGATAATTAAATGAGTGCCCTTAGCTTGTTATATTATGCCATACGCTGCTATGGATATGAAGTGATGTCACTATCACTTATTTGAAGTGACAGCAGGATACAAGCAATTATGAGTATTATACAATATACATTGGCAGCCAGTGGATAACAATACCAATTAAACAATCAATCATAAACATTCATAAAGCGCCAGGATACAAAACTAAGTTCTGTTCAAATACACTGAAGGGGTTATTCCATGCTGTAGGCTTTGATTAATGAATACATTTTCATTTTAATAAGTTTACATCAGTGATTTGATGCATATCTGATGGAAGGGTGTTGAGGAGTAGCATGTGAAAGGGCATGTTCCCCAATAATTTTGTACTCAATTCTGTGATGAACGGGAAACCAATGCAGTTTTTGTAGAACTGGGATTATATGTTCTGATTTTCTAGTACGGGTGATCATTCTAGCAGCCGTGTTTTTGGTCAATAATGTCACTCCCATCACTAGAGTTCTACAACCAAGTACCCCGTTAATATTAAGGGATAAACTTCTTTATCATGTGACCAATGCCACATGTTCTAAATGTGGTAATATGTCATCAAATATTCTGATGTACAATGTATGCTACTCAGCGTGTAATGGAAACTACTTTTCAACTGGCAGTAATATTGTATTCATAATATAGCAACAAGCAAGATAAAACATACCCCCATTATGCAATAATTATATTTTGGTCCGGCAAAAAATATGACAGTTTTGACAATATAGAAGCAGGATTCACTACACTACACTACACTACACTACACTACACTACACTACGCTACACTACACGTATTGTACTACATCTATAACTATAGATATCCAAGTATAATAGCAGCCATCAAAATTCCCACAATACAGGGAGATCAGAGAACTAATACACAATATGGGAAGTAATTAGTATCAAAAAACCTTAATAAATAAAAAAAAATGTTTTTCATTAAAAGCAAATTAGAAATTATATCAATAATGCTAAGTATGGATTCCCATATTATGAATGTTTTCATAACTACTAAAGAGCTATTAACCGCAATGTATGCATTCTTCATGCTTTACCTATGTAGGATGCAATATAATCTGCTGAATTTGTAATGGCTTTCATGTTACTATTACATGCATCAATTTAACACCATAATTATGATAGGTGTATGTCTTGATATTTCACAACCGAACAGACAAAAAGGGGCAAACAGTGCTAAGCTTGAATAATTTATTAGGGTTATTTATTGTGGTGCGACTAAGTAATCGCTAATAAATTGAAAGAAGTTGCCAAATCGGGTGTTTTGTACATGTGGCCTGCACCTTGAAATATTTGGCACCAGTATAAATTTACTGTGAATCAAATAATTTCTGTCAGAACATCTAAATAACTTCATGCCAAAATGATGGTGTTTTTTTGACAAAAATAAAATCAAAAAAAAAAATGCCATAAGAATGAAAGCTTAGCTAGCCATTATTATTATAAGCTGGATGATCTACAACAAAGGCAGGAAAAATATATGCAAAATTGCAGTGAATGACCCTTTATCTAAATAAGACACAATGCATGCAAGTTGGTGAATAATGTCAAACATACAAACTGATGAAGTGATAAAGATTTCAGAGTGCATACTTCTACAAGTCTGCAGCCTTT